AACTGTATTTACTAAGCATTGCCCAAAGAAGGCTTAGTAAATCAAGCCACCAGTTTAAACAAAGCCATAAAGCCTAAGCAGGATAAATAAGAAGTTCATTATGAATTTGTACCAACTGGACGGCTAATCAAGTCTACTATCTGTCGCAGCGCCCATAGCTCAGTGACTAGGGCACCAGCCACAGAGACCAGAGCAGACACGTTCGAATCCGTCCCACGCCTGCTAAACAATGATAACTGCAACCAAAAAATTGCCGGGTGTTGTGGCAGGTACCTGTAGTCTCAGCTATTTGGGAGGCTGAGGCAAGAGAATCATTAAGCCCAAGAGTTTGAGGTTGCTGTGAGCTGTGACAGCACGGCACTCTACCAGGAGTGACAATAGTGAGAGACTGTCTCAAAAAAAAAAAAAAAACACACACACACAAAAAACTACTATCTTGAAATGCTGAAAAGGTTACTTGAAAAAGGTAGATGAAAATGACCCAAACTTTGCACCAACAACTCATAGCTGTTGCAATGTGACAGTGCACCAGTTTACATGAGGTGGTCTGTGAGGGAGTTTTTAGCCAGTAAACAAATAACTGTATTGGAACCCCCTCCCTGCTTATATGATCTGCCCCCAGTGACTTTTTTCTTTACCTGAAGATAAAGGAAATATTGAAAGAAAGACATTTTGATGACCTTGTACTACGGTGACAACTCTGGAGGTCATTCCAGAAAAAGAGGTCCAGGTCCCTAACTGCTTTGAAGGGTGGGCCCGCTGCAGTGTCTGTGCACGGCTACCAAGGGGAGTACTTCAGACACGACCGTAGTGATTTTTAGCAGTGAGTGTGTGGCACTTTTTCTAAGATGAGTTCTTTTTTTGTTGTTTTTTTTATTGTTTGAGATTCATTGAGGGTATAAAGATTACGTTACATGATTGCATCTGTTAACATCCCTCTTATACTTGTGTCCTGCCCCCCCAAAAATGTGCTATACACCTTGACCCCCATCTCCCTCCCTCCTCCCCTCTCCCCACTACCTCATTCCCCTACCCCTTGTATTAGTTCATCTACTGCCTTCATATTAGATTTTTTTTTTTTTTGAGACAGAGTCTCACTCTTCCTTGGTAGAGTGCTGTGGAGTCATAGCTCACAGCATCCTCAAACTTTTGGGCTTAAGTGATTCTTTTGCCTCAGCCTCCCAAGTAGCTGGGACTACAGGCACCTACCACAAAGCCTGACTATTTTTTACTTTGCAGTTGTCGTTGTTGTTAACCTGGCTCTGGCTGGGTTCAAACCCTCCAGCCCCGATGTATGTGGCTGGCACCCTATCCGCTGAGCCACGGGTGCTGCCTGCCTCCATATTAGAATTAAAATTACTACATTGGATACTTAATTCTCCATTCTTATGATGCTTTACTGAGAAGAATGTGTTCCACCTCATCCAGGTTAATACAAAAGATGTAAAGTGGCACCTATGCCTCAAAGGAGTAGGGTGCTGGCCCCAAATGCCAGAGGTGGTGGGTTCAAACCCAGTCCCAGCCAAAAACTGCAAAAAAAAAAAAAAAAAGTAAACTCAAGTCTCCATCTTTTTAATGGCTGAATAGTATTTCATGGTGTACTTATACCACAGCTTGTTAATCCATTCCTGGGTTGGTGGGCATTTAGGTTGGTTCCACATTTTGGCAATTGTAAATTGAGTTGCGGTAAACAGTCTAGTACAAATGTCCTTAAAAAGATTTTTTTTTTGTTTTAGTCTGGGTAGATACCTAGTAATGGGATGGGATTGCAGAATCAAGTGGGAGGTCTAGCTTGAGTTCTTTGGGGATTCCCCATACTTTCTTCTAAAAAGGCTGTATTAGTTTGCAGTCCCACCAGCAGTGTAAAAGTGTTCCCTTCTCTCCACATCCACACCAGCATCTGCAGCTCTGAGACTTCGTAGTGTGGGCCATTCTCACTGGGGTATAGGCAGTATCTCAGGGTGGTTTTGATTTGCATTTCTCTGATGATTAGGGACGGTGAGTATTTTTCCATATGTCTGTTAGCCATCTGCCTGTCTTCTTCAGAGAACATTCTATTCATGTCTTTGGCCCAGTAATATATGGAATTGTTGGGTCTTTTTTGATTAATTTAAGTTCTCTGTAGATCCTAGTTATCAAGCTTTTGTCTGATTCATAATATGCAAATGTCTTTTCCCATTCTGAAGGTTGTCTGTTTGCTTGGGTTGTTTCCTTAGCTGTACAGAAGCTTTTCAGTTTCATTAAGTCCCATTTGTTTATTTTTGTTGTTATTGCAATTGTCATGGAAGTCTTCCACATAAAGTCTTACCCCAGGCTGATATCTTCCAGTGTTTTTCCCCCAACTTTCTTCAAGGATTTTTATTGTTTAATGCCTTAGGTTTAAATCTTTTATCCATTTTGAATCAATTTTTGTAAGTGGTGAGAGGTACGGGTCCAGTTTCAGTCTTTTACTTGTAGTTATCCAGTTCTCCCAGCACCATTTATTGAATAGGGATTAGGATAAATTCTTAATTGTGAACTTGTCAGACCTCATGTGTAAGTACAAAACAGTGTCTGCAGATGTTTACAGCAGATTTATATTTAGTAGCTCCAGAGTGGAAGCGGCCGTATGTCTGTTGACAGGTAACTGGAGAAACAAAATGTGGTCAATAAAAAGGATTGAGCTATTTACTACTTTTTTTTAATAGAACAGTGTTGTTACCAAGGAATGTGCTATTTATACATTCTACAATATGGATGAATCTCAGAATAATCTGTTGAGTGAAAGTTGCCAGACCCCTCGCCCCCCAAAAAAGTTCATATTAACGATTTCGTTCCTATGAAATGTTAGGAATTGTAAACTGAAGTGACAAAGAACAGATCAGAATTTGCCTGGGGATGAGAGGGAGACAGGGGCTGAAGGGAAGTTTTGGGGATGATGGGCATGTTAATTATCTTGATTGTGGTGATGGTTTATTGGGCTTTTACACATGTCCAAACAGACCAAATTCTGCACTTTAAATATGGCCAGGTTTTTGTATATTGGTTATACCTCAATATGTACTTCTAGCTGTGTTTCTTTAAAAATTCAATTCAAAATTCAACCATTTTGCAATCCACTTTTCCCCTATATAGATCTATTAAATAATTTAGTAATATAGTTAATTTACACATAATTTTAGACATTTTGTGTCCTGATTAATATGTTTAAAAATGTATAAGATTTCATTAAGAAAATAATTGCTACTAAATAAAAAAATGAAACAATGATTCTTAATTCTTAGAGAAATATCATATATGATAGGAAAAGTACATTATTCCCCATGTCTGGAGATACTGTAGTTTTTAGAATTTTTATTCTTTTTTGATAGGGTTGGAGTATATTTACCTTACTTGCATAAAGTATAATTCTTTTAATAATTCTGTTTATGAATGGATGGTGCAGATTTTTGTAAGAGATCAGTTTTGTAAGAAACATCACATATTGCATCCTGTGTGTGGCTGTCAGTGGTTTCCTGTACTGTTGTGGGTCTAATCTCTCAGTGGTCTGAATAGTCCAGGCTCTTTTTGTTTTCTTTGAGACAGAGTCTCACTATGTTGCTTTTGGTAGAGTGCTGTGGCAACACAGCTCACAGCAACCTCAAACTTTTGGGCTTAAGTGATTCTCTTGCCTCAGCCTCCCAAGTAGCTAGGACTACAGGTGCCCATCACAACGCCCAGCTATGTTTTTGTTATTGTCAACATTATTATTTAGCAGGCCCTTGGCCAGGTTCAAATCCACCAGCCCCGGTGCATGTGGCCAGCACCCTACCCACTGAGCTATGGACGCTAAGCCAGTTTAGGCTCTTACTGACACTTGGGTTAATAAAGCATCTCGATATGTCATTCTTCAGAGGTCACTTATGCTGTTGATAATTCCTTTGAGAGTTTTTTTAGTAAATGACATTGTTATAGATTTTGATTCTGGTGTTAAATTTTATTGTTGGTTTTTACTGAAGAGAGAAGAAGGTAGCCTTTATGTAGTTTAATTAAAATCACATGTATTTCAAGCATAATCCCTAGGCAATAACCTGTGAGTTGGAGCTTAACACCCTTTCTGGGAACTAAATGATACTGGCATTTTTTCCTACTTCCTTATCCTTTGATCGGTCCTCCCTAGTTTGAAAGCAGAAAGCAAACTAACCTGCGTTTCTAACAATTTTATGTTATTGACCATGGTAAACTTGTCTGGTTCATGATGGCTAGTTAATTAAAAAAAGGAAAGGAAAAGAAAAAGCCAAGATTTTAAAAATATCCAGAAATAATAGCAAAACTGGGCAAGAAGCAAAACAGAAATTCCACTGGGGCAGCGTGTCCATCCTGAGGCACTGGACACAGGCAGGTTTGCATCCCAGATGGGCCTGCGAGGGCGGCCTCTGCACTTCACAGTGTGGCAGCCCCAGCAGGAGACCTGCGGCACAGGTGTGCACCCTCGCAGGTACCCGACATGCAGTTGCTGACTTACACGTCTGGAGGGCGGGACCAGAGGGAGGTGGCGGGCACCCCCGCAGCTTGGCTGCTGAGCCCTGCACTCAGGGAGAGTGGGTCCTTCTGTGGAGAGGTCTCTTGCCATGCCCTTTCTAGAGTGAGGAGTGGCCCAGCTCCTAAGTGTGGAGAGTAATGAGAGGATATTGGCCTTCGGTTGGTGACAGGCCCAGGAGAGCAGCCTGGTGGGCCCAGTCCGTGTCTCTCCCACATGGCTCCAGGGCTGCTGATGCTGGCCAGCGCATGGTGGCGGGTGAACACCCTGTGCGGGAATAAATTAGATGTCTTTCCTTTGGAAACAGTGATGGCTGAGGATAAGCTACGCTGTGGGGCCTGAAGCTGCCCCTCCACCCTGGACTGTGTTACGTTCAGTGTGGCCATGGATGACAGGAAGGCTCAGAACTCAGCACTCTTGAAGAACACAGAAAAGTGGAGGAGAACATGACTTCTTGGGTCCTGCCACCGAAATTTCTTTGCTTTCTGTTTTCTCTCCTCAGAAGCACGTGGCTGCCCTGAGACTCTCAGCCACGCAGTGGGGATGTCAGACAGCCCTGTTGGACCCAAGTCCGCCATGCTCCGGGCCGATGTGCCCACGACGTCCTCCTTTCAGCAAGCATTCGCATCCTCCTGCACAATTTCAAGCAATGGTCCTGGCCAGAGGAGAGAGAGGTAAAAAGATGGGTTTTTAAACTTGGCACAAAGACTCAGAATGCTGAGCTGAGAGTGGAAAGACGAGTTTAGAGGACCTGCCAGAACTTTCTCTCCAGAGGTGCTGGAGCCAGGCCCAGGAGGGGTACCCCTGCCCAGCAGAGATTGGTGTGGCATTGAGGGTGGGTAGGGGCCTAGCTCTGTGCAGAACCGTGCTGCCCACGGGGTCAGGTGCAGGTGTAACCTATGGGAAAATATAGGCAAACAGGAAATAGAGGAAAATTGGTCATGGAGGGATTATAAAAATGGACGACAAGAAAGGAAGAGAGGGAAAGGGGCAGGCTATGGAGAGAGGATGGTGTTTCATTTCTGCTTTACGAAGACACTGCCCCTGAGGACATCCATGTGTGAGACCAGTGCCCTTGCACAGAGCAGGAGTAAATATTCTGTGCTTTACTGTTTGGGCGTGTAGCTCTCAATTTAACTTTCCTAATTCTACCTCCTTTTTCCATCAAATAAAGGGCAGAGGGATCTTCATCCAATGACTTGACATCACACGTACACTATGTACCCAATAAGTCCTTATTTATGGAACATGTACATATGAGGAGGTCAGACGTTAAGTCTGCAAACTCAGCCTGGAAAATAGTGCTGCGTACCTCATTGTGGAATATAGCTATGGTCACCAGATGGCCAAGGAGAGTATCTGACGGTGACCACAGTGATATTCAGCAATGAGGCATGTAGCACTTTGTCTAGGATGAGTTCACAGACTCCATTGTCCGGCCTTGTATATGTCATGTGCTGTGCTTAGCTGTCTCTCAGTATCCTAAATGTGCAGTAATTCCCATAGTCTTAGTGGTGTCCTTTAATCAGCCATTTCATCCAGTAAGTGTGTGTTGAGAAGTGACCTGTCAGGCATAGGTGACGGGAAGGGGAGAGAGGGCTGGTTGTGAGCGGAGGAGAGACACACAGTGAGCAGATGGGCCCTGCGCAGGGCGAAGGCACTTGGCATCCGTGCCAAGGCGAGGGCGTCCCCACTCCCCTGTGTGCACACGTACATAGCCATGGGTAGCAGACGGGCTGGGAAAGGCTTTGAACTTGGGGACACAGGTAAGTCAAGTCATGAAGGAAGAAAGAGACATACCAGGTGAGGACTGAGAATAAGAAAGGCCTGAGGGCTGTCCCCAGCACACAGGGAGGCCTGTGTGAGCAGCTCCCCTCAGGGCGCAGATGTGGGGTTGAGCATCAGGTGCGAAGTGGGTGCTGGAAAACGGAGCAGCGTGAGCTCAGCCAGAGCTGGAATTCGCGTGTTTTGGAAGACGCCCTGTGCTGCACAGGGAGCCTCAGCACCTGCCTCCCCACCTCTGTCTTTCCCGTGGGGGTGGCCGTTGCTGATTCTGAGGTGTTGTGTACCGTACATGCTCTTAACAGTTGGCTTATCTTTGGACAGCCCATCGTCAGCAGATCGCCAGTGGGTGGAGAGCAGCCCCAAACCCACCGTTTCCCTGCTGGCGAGTAGCCGGACCCCAGGAGGTCACCTCAGTGCTGAGTTCTCTGGCCCTGGCAAGGACTCCCCAGTGCTGTCCTGCTTCCCGCCTTCGGAGCTCCAGGCCTCTTTCCACAGCCATGATCTGTCCCTGACGGAGCCACCGGACACTCTGGCTCCCCCAGTCAGCCAGGCCTTCCTGGGCTTCAGCACCGCCCCTGTGGGAAGTGGCCTTCCTCCCGAAGAGGACCTCGGAGGCTTGCTGACCAATTCCCATGGCACATCATCAGCCCCTGGTGTCCCACTGACAGCAGCAGGGACTGCTGACAATGGCTTCCTGTCCCACAACTTTCTCACGGTGGTGCCTGGACAGGGCAGCCACCACAGTCCAGGCCTGCAGGGTCAGGGGGTAACCCTGCCTGGGCAGCCACCCCTCCCTGAGAAGAAGCGGGCCTCGGAAGGGGACCGCTCTCTGGGCTCCGTCTCCCCCTCCTCCAGCGGCTTCTCCAGCCCCCACAGCGGGAGCACCATCAGCATCCCCTTCCCAAACGTGCTGCCGGAGTTCTGCAGGACCTCAGAAGCAGCCTCCTCGCCTTCGCCAGGTGGGTGTGATTCCCCTGGGCAGCAGGGCCACCTCTGTCCATTCACTCAGCAGAGAAAGGGTAAAGGACTTGGAGTGTCAGCCGTCAGTGTGACATCCCTCCTGATGGGCTGAGACCCTGGACAGAAAAGTCCAGAGCCCTCGGGGGCTCGTCCTCTTTGCTGGCCCAGAACCAGACTCTGAGCCACGCTGCTCGTGAACTCCCCTTGGCTTCCTCGTTGGCCACTTCAGACTTGTTCCTCTTGTAGAAGGTGCAGACATTTGGGGAGGTTCTAGTTTCCCTTTCACTTGGGAGCATCACTTTTTGAAAATTGCTTTCCTTTTCAAACTGAATGAATTTGTCTGAAATGTAATTATGAACTATCTCAAGTGTGTAAGAAGTGATACACACAGCACACGCAGACTGAGCTCCACCAGCCTTGCTCTGCTTGGTTTCCGCCTAACCTGTGTATTTTAAAAATGCATTGCAAAGCCCTCGTCGGAGCATCCTGTTTTGTTCTGTTTTATGAAATAGTTGCTGCCTCTTCTAACTCAGTTATTTTGAAAGCAGGGCTCCTTCCCCTTAGAGCATTCCCAGCCTCCCTCGCTGTCTGGGTGGATCATCGCAGATGAGAGGTTGCAAAAAAAAAAAAAGAAAAAAAATCACCTTTCACACTCACTGTTTTTAAATTTGATTTCCCAGATAGCCCCAGTGATAAACTTGTGATGGTGAAATTTGTTCAAGACACTTCCAAATTCTGGTACAAGGCGGATATTTCAAGAGAACAAGGTATGTATGGAGGACGAGGGTCTCCTTGGCTTCTGTCCTCCCAGGGGCATGGAAGTATCAGAGAATCACGGCATTGGTGTAGAAGGCGTTAGAGCAAAGCCGCCACTTATTACAAACCTCTGACAGGCGTGCTGGGACCTTTGAAGTTTTCTAGGAAGACTTGGTACTCAGAGGGACATGGTGAGGCATGGGCACCAGCTATGAGCATTCCAGCATGCAGGGTGTAATCTCTGGCTGCTCCCACCTGCCATGATGCCAGCTCGCCACTGCTGACGGTGAGGAGACAGACACTCCTGGCATCTCCCTGAGGGCCCTGAGCCACAGAGGATGAGTGTCCCGAGGGAGGGAGAGACAGTTTGCCCATGTGTTCATGAACATCTGCATTGGTGCGGGTCAGGGAGAAAAGCCCTTAATCCCGAGACCCAGGTGTGCATGTCATCAAGTGCCTCCCACGAGCCAGGCAGGGCCTCTCTCTGCTTGGTACAGCCTCAGGCAGCTATTAAAAGTCTGAACCATTAAAAATTTGAAGCAACTAAGTGGGGCGTCACTTTCATTGGAACAAGAATAGAAGAGATGTAAGAGGGGAAGGGTAGTAAGCCTTCCCTGGTGGAGTCCCTCCTGGGCTCTGCTTTCCACCCAGAGGGGACTGCCCTTCTTGCTGGAGGCCAGGTCACCGCTCAGTGCTTTGTCCTTTGGACGTCTGATTTTGGGAACCCGTCGCTCCTGGAATGGACCTCAGAAGGGAAGGTGTGTGAGAGGAAGAGAGGGCAGGGCCAGACCTCCAGTGGCTGAGAGGCATTGCCAGGATTCCTGGGAAATGGGGTTAAATCCCAGCAGCTGCCTGGTGGATGCTGGAGTGAGGCAGGGCCTGGGGTGGCTCAGTGTGGTGAGAAATAGGGGGCTGCCCACAGTTGTCAGGAGACCCTCCTGGTCTCAATGTCAGAAGAAAATTGTCCAGCTCTCTCCTTGTGCCCATGCCTCAGAAATGCCTGGAAGTGAATAGTCAAACAGCAAAAACACAGCACTATCCAACATTCTCATTAAAATTCTGCTATTCGATTATGTAGATAATAGAAATGGTAAGAATGTACATTTCTGACCATGAGCTCAAAGAAGCTATTGTCATATTAAGTGGAAGAGAGAAAAAACGGAGCCCATGGCCTGGGAATACTTTATCCCCTGAATTGGCCTTTGTGAAGAGCTGCTTGCTTATCATGTCGAGGGCTCCTGTCCCAAGAATCCTGATGATTATGGCCTCCAGCTTTTGGGCATCCCCTCCAGCTGGCCATACTGAGAGGTGCTCATGGAACTTCATGTTCTAGAACAGCGGTTCTCAACCTGTGGCTTGAAACCCCTTTGTAACAATGAAAATACATCCTGCATATCAGATATTTACATTATGATTCATAGCAGTAGCAAAATTACAGTTATTAAGTAGCAATGAAAATAATTTTATGGTCGGGGGTCACCACAACATGAGGAACTGTATTAAAGGGTCGTGGCATCAGGAAGGTTGAGAACCACTGTTCTGGAAGATTCTGCTCAGACCTTCCTACTCTGTTGGTTCTGTCTTCTAGACCAGGATGATGTGTGGGGCTGGGCTGCGCCCTTTTCTCATTGTGCAATGTCTTTGTAGCATAGAGACTTCAGAGCCGATGGACTTGAGCACCCCTTTGGGTTCCCGGCGGGGCAGAGGACGTAGAGCCTGCTTTGGAGGGGTCCGCTGGCAGAGAGGGGCCCTGTGGGGGCACCTGCCTTGCTGGCACCTGAAGGTGCACAGTGAGGGGGGCTGTGACAGTCACTTGCTTGGCCTTCAGCACACATTTTAAAAGGTTCCTTTGTGTGAACGCTCTCTCAGAATGTCTAATATATACATTAGATGCTGATTTTTCCACCTAAACTCTAAAAGCATAACTTCCTCCATTTTCTGGATGTTGTGTACAAAGGCGCCTGCAGAAAGTCAGGTTCTGCTGGGTGGGCCCATGGGTTGGGTTGTTTTTATTTTACGTGTCCAATCTGCCTTTTTCTAGAAAAGCTTCAGAGACATTTCAGGGTGATGCAGGAAGAAAAAAGAAAAAATACATGCACCCAGATAACCTCTTCTGGAGTGTGATTGTCACGTCCTCAGTCCCTGGGAATTTCTCCATGGGAACATAAAAATACCGTGGGAGGAAAAAGCACCAAAAAGTAAAAAGTCCAGTCACACTTCTTGGGGTGTTACAGGGAGAACAGATGTGAGAAGGGGGGTTGTGAGTGTCTCCCCTGCCACTCCTTACCCTGTCCCGTCTGTCTTCAGGCAGGGAGTGCAGTGTCAAGGCTGGGCCAGGGCATGAGGCTGCTGTGTGTGGTGTGGGCTCCTCAGCTCATTTCTGTTTCAAAACATGATAAATCAAAAATTGTCCCCAATTCCCCTTCTCTGGTGCACGAGCTCTGGTTTCTGTGGCTTCTGTGGGCAGAGGGGTGACCCTGGGCCTTGGGGACCACTGTCCAGAGCAAAGCTGCTGTTCCCTGCACTGGGTCTGCGTTTGGCCCAAAGCCTGTTGCAGCGGTCCATTTATCACACACATGACTGAAACAACAACAACAAAACGTTTAACTGTGTATATCACAATTTACAAATAATTTCTGTAAGTGGTTCTTTCTCTTACTTCAAGTTTAGATACTGTGCCATGACAGGGTCATACCTGGAGAAGCTGCTGTCCCAGCCCTGGGCTGCTCGTGATGGGTGGCTGCAGGCCCTGGCAGGTGTGCTCAGGGAGCCGGCCTGTGTTGTCCTGCTGGCCCTCCCTGCACACAGACTAGAAGCTTCTGCCTTGTCCACTGGGGCTCACTAAGCTCCACCCGGTGGCCTGCACAGAGGGCCATGGTGTGGGGCATTGACAAGTGTGTACAAGAACCCATTTGCTTCTTCCTGTAGCCAGACAAATGCCGTGCCGGTGGGTGGGGGCAGGTGTGGGGTGTGTGTGTGGGGTTTCTGACAAAGGGCGGGACTGAGGTGCACAGGGGCTTCCTGCCCTGTGCTAATTTATGTGCTGCACCGTGACCTCTTCCAGACAGAGCCTTCCTCCTTTCAGAAAGGCCGCATTGCCATAGCTATAATTGTGTCTAACTTTATACTCTAGTTTTATTTTTTTTTTTTAAAGAAAGAGTAAATGTCTATAAAAGAAATTTTGAGATTTATTCTGGTTATCAGACTCATAACTTGTCCTGAGTCTGGGCAGTGCTAAGGCAAGGTCACCAGCACTATACCCCATTAAGGCAAGGTCACCAGCACCCTAGCCCATTCTTTCTTCTAGTGTCATGAGGGATTTGGAAATGTCAGATTTTAACCATGAAGGGGAGGAATTATTTTTTAAAGCAATGTTATAATTAGCTAAATGCTTCCCACCCTTACTGGGGAATATGGGTGACCTACTGTGCTGGGCCCTTGGCTGGTTATGGCCACATGGAGGAGTCCACAGCCCTGCCCAGGCTGGGTTCATCTGGCCATGTTTGCCACCAATGGAAGGCCATAATGTGGGACACATTTTTTGCCATCCCCTGGGGTGAATCTTGGAATTTGTATTAAATATTCAGTATCTTTGGGGGGTATGCCCTTTCTATCTTCAGAAAGGTAGTTACACATGCACGAGAGTGGCTGGGATGGTGCTTGACACCCCCATGTGAATCAGAGAAGGGTTTTCTTGTCCCCTGGCCTCTTCAGAGTCAGGCCAAACCATGAAAAATACATGATGCCACAGACTCCCTCTAGGGCCTCTCGTCATGGACATACCACTCCTCCCGCTGAGCAGGGGGACCCTGGCCTGCTCCCCACTGACCCCGTTTGCAAAGAAAATAAGGGAAGAGGACCTATCCCAAAGTCATGAGTGGACACAAGACCTTTGTCCACCCAGGCAGTGCTCACGTCTTTCTCCTCCCTTCCTTTAGCCATTGCCATGTTAAAGGACAAGGAGCCTGGATCGTTCATCGTTCGCGACAGTCACTCCTTCCGAGGGGCCTATGGCCTGGCCATGAAGGTGGCCACTCCGCCCCCTTCTGTCTTGCAGATGAACAAGAAAGGTAGGTGCCCTGCAGTGGGTCTGTGCAGCTCATCCCGTGAGGCTGTGCAGGTTCATGGTCACGCTAAGAAGGTAGATGACTTACATGGTACTCCCATGTTTTCTTCTCCGTATGTACATATTCAGGTGTATTTTCTTGAGTCTTCCCGTTGTTCAAGAAAGAGCATTAATTTTTTTTGTAAACCATATTTTCTGTTATTTTGAATAAGTAATTGGTTCCACTGTTCAAAAGTCAGAACAAACTACCTAGAACAAGACGTCCGCTCACCTGCTTCACGGTCCTCTTGGCTGACCATTTGCAGTAAGTTCCTGTGCCTGCTCCCTGGTGTCCATCCTAAGGCAGCCGCTGTGTGTCTTCCTTTGTTCTCACCTGAGAGGCAGCGTACCCGTGCACGGCTCTTATCTCTCTGTAGGGTACTTTTAGATTGATTAGAAGTGATGTACTATAACCCTCGAGCCTTTCAACGATCTCGTCTTGGGAAGGACTGTGCCTTCCTGGCTCTACTGGAAAGTGAGGCTGCAGGGAGCTTCCTCTCAGGTCTCGGGCACTTGTGAAGACACACACCACCCTGCTGTGGAGACCACAGCTTTCTGACTACTCCACACAGGCAGCAAGCTGCAGCCACATCCTGCATAGATTCATAGAAACATTCTTTACTTATTCTTTTTTTTTTTCACTGCTTTTTTGTCTGGAAGCATAACCATACAGAACAGTCGGTAATGCCTGCACGTACGGTGAATGAACTCGCAAAGCAAGCATGCATGTGACCACAGCCCAGGAGAGGGGACTAGGAAGCCCCTGCACATCCCTCTGTGCAGGGCTGTCATTCATCATCACCATCCTTTTTGGTCTTCCAGGGGTCCCAGATTTGTGTCCTTAGTACTCTTCAGGTGGGCCCCTGAGTCCTTTGAGACACCTTCATCAGTCTGCAAGTGGTCCCAGTTGTGTTTCTGGCTTACTATGTACTTTTCCTGCCATTTCTCTCCACTTTCCTAGTGCTGTTTGCGGGGCAGTGAATCTGGGCGTGCCCTCTGCTGCTGGAGCATCACTGCTTCTCTCTGTGAGCAGAGCAGGTGCACATGGCATCTCTGGGCGTGCCCTCTGCTGCTGGAGCATCACTGCTTCTCTCTGTGAGCCGAGCAGGTGCACATGGCATCTCTGG